CGACTGTCGTGGCCACCAGTAGGGATGAATTTAAAAGTCTTCTATCGACTACTGAAGTAGACCGTAGCACGGAAGTCTGAATTTCCAATTGTCGATTCAGGGATATCGGTATATGAAACCACACCTGGTTGCCATAGTGTTTGGTCATTTGTTTGTCGCTTGCTAATAGTGATTTCTCGCACATTGTCCATCAAAAGTTTCAAAGTTTTCTAGCTTTCGTTATCTAATGCCCACTAGATAATGAGTTAACTATTTCGTTGTCCAGGTGGATTTCTGGTCTACTCTGTCGTTACTGTGTCTGTGTTTTGTATCAATTTTCGTGTAATAGCTTGTTCTTCACACAGATTTGTCCAGCACAGTGGGGTCTGATTTCAGGCTGTGTTGCAAAACAATCACGATACAATAATCTTTATAACAAAAACAGTTCACGATGTGCTAGTGAACGGACATTACTAAGTTATCCAGGCCAAAGCAGGTGAATTTTCTTGAGGAACTCCCAACCGAAGAATTCGACTGACCAAAGCGTGTCCCGCAAAACAGCCGGGGCCCGTGTGTGAGAACCGCAATGTGTTTGGGGTTGTTGTGCGGTTCATCCATTCAATCATACGTAATTGGATGGAGTTAAACGTCCAAGATACCCAGTTCACATCTGTGAACCTGTGACCACTGCCACAACCAAGAAGGTTTATGGTATCCCTCTCCCTGGTTGGTTTAAAGTAAGATTTCCTGGTAAACTCCCCGGATTGTACTCTTTCCCGTGAATCGGGGTTTCTTTTGTGATACCCCAGATTATTAATCTTATGAATAGTGAAGCTAACTGGGGCACAATTAATTTGCCCGTTTCACCGTCCCTAGTTTTACAACTACAGGCCTGAGTAAGCGCACTTGGCTACTCACATATTATGAGTAGTAAAACCAGAAATCGCGCCGGTCTTCTTCAAATCTATTCTCTTTGCTATGGGAAACCACAGGAATGCGTGATTCCATAGTTAGCGTTTGTCCATGGTTATTCAGCCTCGATAAAAAATTTACTGATTTATTAATGATTCATTTTTGTTCTTTAATTATCACCGGTTTGCGATTATTTATTAT